CCGGGGGAGCAGGGGGGGATTGGGAGCGGGAGGGGGGGTATGGTGGGGCAGGGCCGAGGGGTGGGGAGCTGGAGGGGGAGGGGCAGTATAGTTGGGTGGTGCTGGTGGGGTGTGAGAGTGGAGTTGTCACTGGCAGGGAGCTGGAGGGAGGATTTGGGGGCAGCTGGAGGGGTTCCTGCACGTTCACTCTCGAGGTGGGGGGCAGTGTTGTTTCCTGTCCCAGCAGGACACGGGGCACAGCGCTGGCCTGTCAGTGCCTTCCTGTGGGCCTCACCCCTCCCCAGGGCTGGGATGGGGAGCTCAGGTGTCTGGGACCCAGCAGCTGCAGGGAAGAAAGCAGTGAGCTGTGACTGCAGGGGAGGGACCAACCCAGACATGGAGGCAGCTGGCTCTCACCTGGAGTCTGCTCTTAGAAATTTGGACTTTTCCTCCTCTTTGGAGAATCTTCCTGGTGAGAGGACAAAAAAGATTCACGTCCAGGGAAATCCAGCTGTGCGGTGACTCTGCCTGCAGCCCTGGCACTGAGCGACTGGGGAGTTCCCCCCCCTCTGACTCTCACTGACCCATCCCTCCCTGTGGCCTTTTCCTTTCTGTCCCGCTCCCCTGCGCCGCCCTGTGACTGACAGTGGGAGAGTCACGGTGCCCGTGGTCGGGCCCTGCTCTGCCTGGTCTTAGTCATCCTGGGTGCGCAGGTGCGAAGTGCCAGGGCCCAGCGCAGAGGTGGGTCCTGATGGGCGTGACTGTGTGAAACGTCCCTGCAGCAGCAGAGGAGGCGATCGCGGTGGAGGGTGGGGACTTGGCAGGGCCGTGAGGGGCCATAGGGCTGGAATAGCAGGGGGAGATGCAGCTGGCACTTCTACGCAGCAAGGATAAAGCCAAAATAAACAACACAACTTTAGCTACGTCAATTGTGCGGATGAAGTCGAAATAACTTATATTGACTTTAGGCGCTGTCTACACAGCAGGAAGTCTAAGCTAGAGCACTCTTCCTCCCACTTCTCTTCCTCCTTGTACAATGAGGGTTACAGGAGTCAGAGTAAGGAGCCCTCCAGCTCAACATTATTTCAACATTATGGGATTTGAATTTCCCATACAAAGCTACAAAGGCAGCACGACAGGAGGGTGGGGCCAGCCTCTTCCCCAGGGAGGGGCGCTGATCTGGGCTGGACAGAAGACTGTGGGGCATGTGACTTGAGGGGCAGATCCAGTAGGCCAAGGGAGGCTCAGGGACCCCTGGTGCTGCTGGTGCTACATGGGGCAGAGCGAAGCTCCTTCCAGAGGACAGTCCCAGGCTAGGTCTAGACTATACAGTCTGTTGACAGACAGTTTGTGGAGCTTTTTCCGATAGCTTTTCTGAAAGAGGCTTTGAATGCTCTTTAATTGATACAGTGGGAAAGCGGTTAGAGCATATCTTTAAATCCTTTGATTTTCCTGAAGACAATCACAAAGGTAACTGTGAAAGGATTCTGCTGTGTTTGGTGTGTACTTTACACATCAGGGAAACATGGTTTATGAAAGAGCACGTTTTCACCAGAGAATTCAAGGACTAGGGACACATGTTGGATGCTTAGAAGAGCTTTGCATTAGATGAAAATTTCTTTTGGAAGATCAAAACATGAAAATATCCGATTACTGGGATAGGGGGCCAGCAAGTTCTTTGGCCCAAGGGCCACATCTTAATATGGAAATTGTATGATGAGCCATGAATGCTCACAGAATTGGGGGTTATAGTGCAGGAGAGGGTGAGGGCTCCAACTGGGGGTTGGAGTTCTGTGGAAAGCCAGAACTGAGGAGTTAAGGGCCTGGGATAGTGCTCTAGGATGGGACCAAAGGGTTCGGAGACCAAGATGAGGCTCTTGGCTGAGACAAGTGGTTCAGGAGAATGGGGATGAGAGCTCCTATTGGAAGTGCAGGATGTTGGGTTGGGCTGGGGCTGAGGGGTTTGGAGGGTGGGAAGGGGATCGAAGCTGGGTCGAGGTTTAGAATGTGGGAGGTTTAAGAGTGCAGGATCTGGGCAGTGTTTACCTGAAGCGGCTCCTGGAAGTTAAAATCCATCCTCCCTCTGGATCCCAGGCAGAGGTGCAGCCATGAAGCTCTGCACACTGCCCCATCCACAGATATCACTCCCACAGCTGCCACTGGCTTTAGTTCC